TTGGAACAAAATGGTTTAAGACGCACATATGTACCTGATGATGTACCACAAGAGCAAGCAACATTTATTTTCACAAAACCCGAAAAGCTTGTAGAACCGAAAAAGCTAGTTGTCATAATTCATGGTAGTGGTTACGTTAGAGCTGGTCAGTGGGCTAGAAGGTAATTTTTTATCAACGCAATATTTTCACGCCTTCTATATACCAAATTTTTGCCTCCAAAGCCTCATCATTAACAACTCACTTGACCATGGCACTCAAATTCCCTATATTAAACGCGCAGAATCCCTGGGATATGATATATTGCTAACAAATACAAATGACAACTACCGCGTGATCAATGGGGAAAATCGGCCAATACCACGACTTGGATCTGCTTCAGCACACGCCAGATATGTTTGGGAAAAGTATGTGATGGCTTGTAATCCCGAGAGTGTAGCAATTGTAGCACATAGCTACGGTGGAGCGATTGCAATGGATTTGGTAAAATAAATTTCATATCAACTAAGTATCACCAGTGGGTTCAGCGTGTATGTATTTTATTTGGCAGGCCAAACGTTTTACAAAATTCTTTGAGAAAAACGTGTTTGCGATTGCACTAACTGACTCTGCCCATTTCCAAATACCGGGTGAAGCTAAGCAGATCATTTTAGATATATCTTGCAACTGGGTATCTAGTTCTGCACCCCTCGACACCGAAATCTATACGGGAGAAGGAGAAATGCTTAGTGTATCGGCTGGACATCCAAAGCACGAATGGACCTCGTACTCCTCTTTTGAATCAGTTTTTAAGTTCTTAGAAGAAAAATATGAACGTTTCATTGCAGTTCGCACGGGAAGTAAAAAAGCAAAAACGGGAAAGTAATGGTACATAACACTAACCACGCATCTAATGAATTTATATAGATATGTAAAGAAACTATTAATAGCATAGATTTAAAGAAACTGCTTTCGAGGTGAAGACTTTTTAATTAGACATTCCATTTGGAATCGTAATCTCAAATTTCCATGAATATTTGTTATCGCATCCTTTTGTGTGAATAACTTCAACCTATACATATGTATGTATGTATGTATGCTACATACTTACATATAGAGATGTTGCATTCCGTCATATTTTGTTTTATGTTGTTTTCCTGCACATATTTTTACTTGTCAGTATCACTTATATCAATTTATTTAATTTGATTTCCACCACTTAGATTCAGTTCGGGAAACTTAATCATTTTGATGTATGTGACGATAAAACAAACCTTAAAAGCCACATACATAATGTCAATGCACATCTAAACATACATACTTATATCGATTTCCGTGAGTGATAGCGGTCAGTTTGTTAAAGTGTTAGCTAACTGAGTGTATAAAAAACTGAAAATATGTATGTGGAAAAAAGTTTTGCAATAGGGTGGTTTTTTTTTACACACCGGTCAATGTGTGTGGAAATAGATGCCACATTTGCCTTGCTGTCACAGCCAATATCATAGCCTACCATTGCTTATCACAAAACATAAGCGTAAATGTCATAAAAAGATATGTAGGATGAGAGAGTGGGTTGATTTCTGCATAGAAGGTGTGGTGTTTTTTACTGTCCTCGGGGGACTTTGCTCTATACCTATACATTGGAATATATGCACCATGCGTAAGCATTAAGAAAAAACGTTACAACAACAACAACAACGTTAAGAAAATAACCTACTACATATATGAAAGTATACTTTAAAATCTTTTTAACTCCTTTTTTAATTTAAGAATTTAAATGTAATGCATTTTCATTTAGTAGTATATAGATATTTATGTATCAATACATAGTTGCTAGCTTGCTTGTTGTGCGTGGTTGAGAATAAAACTTTTATATGTAATAATTAACGAACTCGTCATGTGAAGACCACTTCCTGTTCACGTGTTTCCGTATTCATATGTATGTATTTAGGTTCATCCATTTTATTCTTCCCTTTTTAAATCAAGTAATAACAGAGCCCGAATCGCGGTATTTGTGATCGAAAAGTTACTCGGTTCGAATCGAAACGAATAAAATGGCAGCTCTTTTCACGCCTTATATTGAGTTTCGCCCGAAAAAAATTACCGAAAATTTGTATTCCGCCCATAGATAACACATGGAAAACAAAAGTGAAAAGAGAACCGGTCCGGGGAAAATAAAACTCATGATAAGGCTGAATTTAAATTGAAGAAGTGCACTCGCTTTCGAGTGCCTTGATCTCTAAATCAAATTTCGATTAGAACAAAGGGAATTTGATAAGGTGGTGTTAGTCTTATATAAGTAAAAAATTACACTGACAAAACCACCCCCATCAAAGTAAAAACAAAACACATGTAAACTTTGGAGCGAATTGAGATTTGACATAACACCTACCAAGGCGATTTTATACAAGGTGGTGTTAATGGCGAATTTAAATTTTCGCTGCGGTACTTCCTAATGTCAAAATGATATGTGTGTTGTAAACATTCATATTACAACAAACGCATCATTTTGACCAAGGCGAATTTATACAAGGTGGTGTTGATGGCGAATTTAGACTTTCGCCGCGGTACTTATTAATGTCAAAATGATGTGTTTGTTGTAAAGAAAGCGAATTATTATTACAACAAACACATCATTTTGACATTAGGAAGTGCCGCGGCGAAAATCTAAATTCGTCAGTAACACCACCTTGTGTAAATTCGCCTTGACCCCTGCAATACAAAACTATGTGGTTGTTGTTGTTGTAATCTAAATTCGCCATTAACACCACCTTGTATAAATTCGCCTTGATTTTGACGGAATGCTCTTCACGGCGAAAAATTCAGCTGTTGCCCCGACACCACCTTGTTAAACTACCCTTGGATTAGAATTGCGTTTGATATCGAATGCGCGATTCGGGCCTAGGTCTTTAAAAATGTAGAAGATTCGTAAGGTGTCGTAGGTGTCGTATTGTCTTGTCGTAAAGTACTTAACGATTGAATAAACATATCAAACACCTAGATCTAAACAGCGAGCAACTTATTTCCATTTACTGCAAATATTTTTTTTCTTCGTGATTATATACACCAACCAAAAAACTACAGACATACATACCTGTTTTTGTATTAATTGCGTTGAATCTGAACGATCCACAAGCAGTTATATTTACGGATCTTATTTTTGAGTGAGCTCACTTTAGATCTACGTGTGCGATATGTAATAACGAGTAATTTCACAAATTTTAGGATAAATTCTATGATGAGGGAATCTTACATAACACCTATTTAAAATTTTCCGCTTAAGAATTCTCAAATCTAAAGGAAAATATACCAAACTGCCAGCATATCATGATTCGCGGTTGATCTGATTGTTCCGCTCCGTTTTTCAAGTTAAAATCAAATCCCGAAGTGTCAACAGAGTGACGTTCCTTTGGCACTTTACATGATATGCCGCTTGCTTTGACATTTTTTTGCTATTTACTTGATGGCATACATATGTATATACTTATATTTCTTCTCTTGCCCCGCATGTTACTTCGGCACGGAATCCAAGACTCTGCATTGAACTGTGATGAATACTAAATCATGCGGAAGCATCCCCAGTTGTAAAATGGAATGTTTGGTAATATAGAAAGTAATGTATCGCCCTTTCAGCCTATACATAACAAGATGCATAATTTTTTATACAGACATGTCCCAGGATAGTAATGTGTTGGTGTCACTTTATAAAACTTTAAATAGAACCTACAAATAAAAAAATAATGAAAAGAAGAAAACCGTGCGCCAGGATTTGAACTCGCGACCATTCGGCTATTGAGGTTGCGTGGAGAAAAGATAGACATACATATGTACATATATTCTTAAATTTGTTTTAAAGTTTTCGTTCAAGCGTAGCGTTAATCTTTTCGTGGCAGAAAAGCTAATGCATTCCCTATATAAGAAACTTCATTAAAAAATATGATTGTGCTTTGCTATTCTTGTTTTTAGAAATTGGAACAAATCGGTCATCATTTTGCTGGTACATTCAAGAAATTGGTCTTGTAACACGAGGTAGTTGGTGGAAGGATGACCTTTGGGAACAAATGCATAATACCTACAATTTTCAAATTAAAGAAAATATAAATAGGGATCGATAGAGATCATTGAGCTAAACATAATCGTATTTTTTTTTTTTTTTTTTTGGGAAACAACCATAAGAGTTATCAACGGGCAAAATTCAAATAAAGCATTTTTTTTTTTAAATCCAAATATCTCAAAAATCCTTTCATAGACTCTAATGCTATTCGATGGAGAAATTCATTTTCTTTAGTTTAATGAACATATCGCTACCTAAAGATGAAAAGGTGCCAAGTCCACTTTTTTTAAATGGTTTAGGAGAGACGAAAAATTAATGTAGATTCGCATTACCTGTCATTCTGCATAAAAATCTAAATTAATAAAAAAGTGGACTTGGCCTTCTTCACCTTCAGGTAGCGGTATGTTATATGTACATATATGCCTTTTATATTTGTCAAAAAAATCGACGTAATGCAAATAATATATTTAAAAAAAATGTTTACAAAACCCTTTTTACAATTCATCTTATTATTTAGTTATATCGCTAGCTTAGAGTGAAAAGTTGCTTAGTCCACTTTTTATGAAAATTCGTATTTTGATAAGGGAGGCTAAATAGATTAAAAATGCCTCGTTTCGAAAAGGGTTAAGGTCCTTGTTTTATATTTTCTCGATTATATTCAAGGAAAGGAAAATTTGCTTAGTCCAAAAAAAGCTCCGAGAATTTGATAAGGCCCATTTGGGCCCAAAATCTTTTAATACAGATCGAGTTGTATGGAATTTTGCTTAGCTTTAAACAGGCAAAATGTTTTATTCAAAGTTTTGCGAAATACTTGAAGAAAATGGTTTTAAGAAGTTTTTTCCCCTCCTTAGCAACTTTTCACTCTAAGCTAGCGATATGCAAAAGTCCTACAATGCAGTCAATAATCCTCACTCTACACAGAAAGGAGAATTCTACTTAGTTACGATTATAATCCCTGAGAGCGGCCGAAGGCGCGAATAAAATCAATTTTTTTTCAAAATCCATGAAAGGGGTTTTGGAAATTGTGATTTAAAAAATGCTTAATTTTAACTTTGACCGTTTATAAAAACATATACCGCTACGCTCACCTCAATGATCCCGTGTATAAGAATGCGCCCATTCATTCACAAGTCAATTTCCTTATGTAATTCTGTTTGTATATAATTACTAGATTTTTATATAACATATCTTGTGCATAAGAATATTCAAAATGGTGAGGGGGTATATAGTATTTTTGCGCAGAACTTCTTTCTACATAGGCGGCTCTCGGCCGAGCTTAGGGATCTTAACCCCTACTACGCAGAATTCTCCTTTTAAACGACCACTGAAAAAATGGTCTTTCGCGCAAAAAAAAAACATTCTTAGAGTTCAAACTAAAGATTTCTTAACACTCTTTCGTTTGGCATGCATATTTTGATATTTCGTCTAACTTATGTATAAGTAATCTAAATTCGACTTTTTTAGCAGGTGGCAACCCTCTTCAAAATATTTTCAAACTATTTTCAGAAACCCCTTTCGTTTGGCACCCACATGCTTATACATACATATTTCTCTTACCTAATATGATTTTTTAAGCAGGTGGCAACCCTCCTATACTTCAGCTAAGAAACAAAGCTTTTCAATGATAAAAACATAACAAGCTAAAACCATTGAGAGGCAGTCTGACGTTTGGCAGCAATGTAATTTAAAAATTCCAAACTCAAACTCGCACACTCATTCCCATTTTCCATCTCAAACAACAACAATTGTGAACAATTCCATTGTTTTATTCTCAATTTTATATGATTTTAAAATGCTGGCAAACGTCAGAAAAAAAAATCATGGTCGTCGAATTGATTTGCCTTGTAATGTTTTTATCATGTTCAAAACTATTTCGATTGATATCCAGTTCGTAATAACTGGTTTTTTTTATAATTTGAATATAATTTTTTAAAAGGTGGCAGCTCTTTTCCAAAACGAAAAATCTTAATGCACATCTACGATCCAGGGCTTTTAGTTTGACACCTCATTTTTGAATTGTTATTGATTGTTAAATAATTTGAATTTAATTTTTCAACAGGTGGCAACTCTTTTCGAAAAACTAAAACCAGTTTGCCCATCTACAGACCAAGCGCTTTAATTTGACATCTCAGTTTTGAAAATCGCGTGAACGGTACAGAACTTTTATCCTGGACAAA